GGTACATAGTTTCTTTTTGGGGTGATTAAAATATTCTAAAATTGATTGTGCTAATGGCTGCACAACTCTGTGAATATGCTAAAATCCACTGAAACGAACACTTTAGCGGGGTGAATTATATGATATGTGATCTGTATTTCAATAAAGCTATTAAAAAAAATACATGGCTTTGTTAATTTATTCTCCTGTGGCTCATCCCAAAAATGTCAGATGATTGATGAACTGGAGTTGATTTTGAGATAATTTACATACCTTCAGAACATAGATGGAACATACAAGTTCCTGTACGTCTGGCCAAGACATGAGCAATTTCCATCACCAAGATGAAGCCTGGTATTGAGATGCTTTATCCTCTTGGGTAAGACAGGCTCAAGAAAGACCTAGGTATTATTCTTTATCTAGTGATGATTCCCCTGGGATGGTGACCTCCCTCATTGGGTTAGGGTCTAATCCCCAAATTGTGCCAGACTTTTGGCAACCTCAGCCCTGGAGAAATAGCTGTTATAAAGACGAAAGTTAATGTACTGAAATCCACGAGCTTCATTCCACAAAAAGACTCAGACCTGCACTTTGAGTTTGCTTTTACTTTAAAAACAATTCCAACAAACATGTATCTCTTTTCCCAACCAGAACAAATTGGGAGTTGCCAAGGGTGAAACAGGAAGTTTACTGGAGAGGCAAAGCGCTACCTGCAAGAAGGGACTGCTGACAGCATAATGGACAAAGGATAAAAAAGGGTGTCCGCGTGGTTCAGAAGCAAATAGCCCTACAAGTGGTGACTCAGTCATCGAGAAGAAGCGAAATTGTGGTTTCTAACGCCCTGTTGATCCTCCCACAGACTCAGCCAACAATGCTGGGTCTTTTCAATGCAGGCCTTGGAGATCCAGGGCCTCGGGCCTACAAGCCTTTCAGCTGCCGATGAAAATGAAACAGTTAATCTATGGCTCCAACTTTACTAATTGCTAAAATTGGTATTCATAAAATATCGCTGACACATGAATATAATCGGCAGGGCTGATTTTCTCACTATACAAGAACTACTGAATTGCAGAAAAATCCTGGACAAATGTAAATTAAATGGTATTTGTTGCTAAATAATTTAAAAAGCAATAGTATACAAATCCTTCCAAAAATGTACAATAAAAGTGCTTGTGGGATCTTAGTTCCCCAAACAGGGATTGAACCTGGGGCCCTGGCAGTGAAAGTGCTGAGTCCAAACCACTGGACTGCCAGGGAATTCCCCAAAGTTGCTATTCTCATTGTGGGCTGAGGGTACATTTTAATATGTCTGGTATGATGTGAACTGGGGCTAGTGCAGGGTTAGTCACTGGCCTGTGACTCTGCTCCCCTCCCCCACGCCCCCTCAAGCCTTCCCTCTGCCTTTTGGAACTCCTCCACTTGCTGGAAAATCAACCGTCTTTCTCCTTCACTTAGCACCGAGCTTCGTCTGCCTCTCTGGTGGAGGCTGGGCCTGCTCCCAGCCCAGCCCTAGGGTGGGGAATGGGGCTGGGCCCTCCTCACCTGGCTTCCAGACACTGCCCTTCTCACCAGGTGTAAATCTCTGCTGCTTCAAGACTCAGGCCATCCTACCTTCTCATCCTCTGCCTCACCTAAAGGTAGTTCTTGCCTCCTGACATTTTCTTCACTGAAAATGAACATTTTCTTCACTGAAAATGTTGGCACCTTCCTTTCTGCCCACCCCAAATTCTGACCGCATCCTGGCCTTCACTTTACAACACGTCAATATCTCTGCCCCTCCCACCTCCTGAGAACTTCAGCACTCAGCTCAATCATCCCCTCCGTGCGCAAGCCTTCTTAGCACTCCCTGTTGTCATCTTAAAATACTTTTTTATTGAGATATAATGTACATACTATAAACTTCATCCTTTTAAAGCATATAATTCAGTGGTTTTTAGTTTAATCTCAAGGTTTCACAACCATCACCACTATTCCAGAACATTTTCATCAACCAGGAGAAACCACATACCTATTAACAATCACTCCCCATCACCCCCTTCTTCCCCCAGTCCCTGGCAACCACTAAGTTACTTTATGTCTCTATGGATTTGCCTATTCTGGACATTTTGTATAAATGGAACCATGTGATACATGGCCTCCTGTATCTGGCTTTTTGCACTTAACATAATGTTTTCAAGGTCTATGCATGTTGCTATGTATGAGTGCTTCATTCCTTTTGTTGGTTGTATGATATTCCATTATATGGATATACCATGTTATGGACTGAATGACTGTGTCCTCCCCCCTCCAAGTTACTATGTTGAATTCCTAACCCTCATTGTGATGATATTTGGAGGTGGGGCATTTGGAGATAATTAGGTTTAGATTAGGTCCTGAGGGTGGAGCCCCCATCGTGGGGTTAGTGCCCCAGAAAAGGAAGACATTAGAGCTCCTTCTCTCCCCTTTCTGAGGAGATAGCCAGAAGGTGGCTGTTTGCAAGGCAGGAAGAGGGTTCTCACCAGACACTGAACCTGCCAACAGCTTGATTGTGGACTTCCCAGCCTCCAGCACCGTGAGATATAAATTCCTGACATATGTTTTCATTTCTTGGGCATATACACCTAGAAGCAGAATTGTTGGGTCATATGGTAGCTCTATGTTTAACTTTTTGAAGGATGACTAGACTGTTTTCTATTATGGCTGCATCATTTTATATTCCTACCAGTAATGTATGAGGGTTCCAATTTCTCCACATCCTTGCCAACACTTGTCATTGTCTGTCTTGTTGACTATAATCATCCTAATGGGTGTGAAGTGGTATCTCATTGTGGTTTTGATTTGCATTTCCCTGTTGGCTAATGATGTAAAATATCCTTTCAGTGGCTTATTGGCCATTTGTATATCTCCTTGGGAGAAACGTCTATTCAGATCCTTTGACCATTTTAAAATTGGGTTGTCTTGTTTATTGTTGAGATGTCTATTATCATTTAAAGATGCTAAAGTCTCTACCATTTTAAAGCAAACAAACCCTTGGCCAAGTCTGGATCCCTGCTGCAGCCACTGTTCCTGCAGAATTTTTTGAAAGAGTTCTCTCCACTTGTGGTTTCCACCCACTCTCTTTTCAAGCTATTACAATCTGGCTTCTGAACTCAACATTGCATTAAAACTGCTCTCAGCAAGGTCACCAGAGCCTGTTTTGTTACTAAATTCAAGAGGCACTTTTCTGATTCTAAGCTTGTTTGATTTCTCTGTGGTATTTAACTCTGCATCCCTCTCTGCCTTTATGGAAAGACTACAGATTCTTGGCTTAATGATAGCACATGCTTCTGATTTTTCTCATACATTTCTGTCTGCTCCTCCATTTTCTCAAGGGGTTTCCTTTATTCCGCTCATTCTTAAAGTCTTGAGCTTCTTTAAGATTTTGTCCTCAGTCCTCTTTTTTATTTTTTAATAAATTTTATTTATTTATTTATTTATTCTGGCTGCATTGGGTCTTGGTTGCTGCGTGTTGGCTTTCTCTAGTTGTGGTGAGCGGGGGCTACTCTTCGTCGCGGTGCGTGGACTTCTCATTGCAGTGGCTTCTCTTGTTGCGGAGCACAGGCTCTAGGCTCGCGGGCTTTAGTAGCTGTGGCACGCGGCCTCTAGAGCACAGGCTCCGTAGTTGTGGCACACGGGCTTAGCTGCTCCGTGGCATGTGCCATCTTCCCTGACCAGGGATCGAACCTGTGTGCCCTGCATTGGCAGGTGGATTCTTAACCACTGCGCCACCAGGGAAGCCCAGTCCTCTTATTTTCTACCTTTACATGATCTCACTGGGCAATCACATTCATCCCCAAGGGTTCAATGACCGCTTAACACTGCTCACTCCTAAATCTCATCTCTATCTCCTGCCTAGACTACTCTCCTGGGCTCCCAGTTTGTACATCTGTCTAACCAACATCTCTACTTGGACTCCTATCCATCCTTAAACTTGACATGTCCCACCCCAAATATTTTATCTTTACTTCTCTGGCCTTCCCTAACTCAGTGAATAACATCATTACCGAATTCTGCTGATTAAAAAAATTTTTGCCACTCACATTTGTCTGCTTCCTCCCATCCTCAAAACCTGTGCCCTAGTCTGGTACCATTTAACAAGATGACCCCAACATCATCCTGAGTGGTCTCCCAGCTCCATTCTCTTCTCCAAACCGTAGCCAGAGATCTTTCTAACATGCAAATCTCACCGTGTCATTCCTCTGCTTACACGAGCTACTGTAAGAGGTGGGATTACACTAGCTTTGGAGCCAGACACACCAGGGTTTCAATCTGAACACCATTCACGCACTGGCTGCATGGCTGTGGGAGGAGTTATTTAACTTCTCCATGTTTTAGTTTTCTAAAGTACCATCTCGTGGGTCCTCCTGAGGATTCAGAAGATGCACCATGATGCCCTTGGTTCAGAGTCGGGCACATTTTATGTGCTCAATACATTTTAACTACTATTTTTATTAAAACCTTCAATAGAGGCATATCAGTGAACCTCATTTTCATCCTAAAATGTGGGCGTTAAATGAATGACTTTAATAACCTCTTTGGACACTGAAGTCTGGTAATCAATCGCAGCTCCACTCTGCGCTGGTCACTCAGCTTCAGGGTCAAAAAAAGTCCGACGCAGGATCGGGCATCGGTGCCGCAGCCCTGGTCCCTGCGAGGGGCGGCCGCAGAGGGGCGCTGACCCAGGGCTTCTTCCCCGCCCCCGGCCCCGCCCGACTGTTACCCCGGCGACAGTCCTCGCCGCCCCTGCGCCCCGCGGCCGGGCTCACCGCACCTGCAGCCAGAAGTACTGAAAGGCTTTGGGGCAAAAACCGCACCCCTAGACCACAAACCACAGGAGCCATCCAGGCCCGGTCGCTCCCTCCCGTCCCCCGCCAGCCCCCCCGGGGCGGCGGCCACCCCTCCCTGCGGGCCCGCGGCGGCTCCGGGCGGACGGTGGGTGCGGGCCCCGCCGCCGCAGGTCTGCCGCCCGCCCGGCGCTCCCTCCCGGAGCCAGCGGCGCTCACCTTGAACGACATCCTGCACATGTCCGCGGCCGCCCCGCCGGGACCGGTGCGCTTCCGGCCCGGACGCCCGGCCCAGCCCTCCCCCGCTCTCCCGCCGCCTTCCGCAGAGGGGCGGCCTTCCCGGCGCCGCGCGCTCTCGCCGCCGCAGACGGGGCCGGGGCGGGGGGAGAGAAGAGGGGAAGGGGGAGGGGCGGGGGGGCTCACACGCGACCGCCCTCCGCGTACCTACCACACACACACTCCCAACTCCGCACGCACTGTGCACACTCTACACACACACAGGTTCATACATACACCACTGCACGCTCACAACCTCACATCACTCTTCACACATCCAGGCTCACTCTCTCCCACTCCATCCCACTCCAAACTGTACACCTCACATTGTGCACACTTTCCAGGTTACACACACTCAACCCTAGCCCCACGTTTTAAAACTATTTGATACTCCGTGACAAAGTTGATTTAAGCTAACTGCATTCATTCACAGTAGAAATAAGCACATTAATGGTTCAAAAGTTGGATAAAAATGTTTTCTATTGTAGTTCAATGTGCTAACATCTTTATATGTCATGTGTTATGAAAAATTTTTGTATGCACTGAAAACTTAATTTAAAATAAAATTTTGGTTCAGGAGAAAAAAAAACCACACCCACACTCCTCACACACCCACCTTCTCTCTCATGCACACACTCCGTGGACATCCACATTCCTCACACACATACACTGCAGTCTCTACACAGACTCTACATTCCACACACACAGGTTCACACACAATACATAATTCCACACTCACATCCATGTATACACAGTACACACACATCCACACACAAATCCACACACACCCACATCCTCCAAAAGGGCATGGTCTTCATCAGATGACTCTTAACCTTCATTACAGCACAAATATGATGATGATGGGAATGAAACATAAGAAAAATATTCACCCATCATCCCACCACTCTTTCAAATAACCATTTTCATTTTTGTTTCTGACCTTCTAGGTTTTCTTTTCTTTTTCTTCTTTTTCTTTTATAAGAATCTGGGATTTTTCCTCCTGGGGAAAGAGCTGGGAAACAAGCCTTTTGACTGAAGGAATGATAAGTGGTATTTTCCTTCTTGAAGGTGAAGGGCACAGTTTGAAATAGACACATATTCCTCTATCTTTTTACCACACCGATCACCTCCTCCCCTTGGCCTTTTCCTGCACACCTTGCAGTATCACAGGAGCTGTCCACTCCCTTGAACGTACTGCTTGCTAATTGCCCAGGGTTGGTCTGAGGGGAGTAAAAGTGGGAGAGTCATATTTTTTTTAATTAAAAGATATATTATTTTTAAAGTATAAACAGCAATAATATCCTTTCTAGAAAATTCGAACGCTAAAGTAAAAGTGAACGTCTCACAGCCTCACACTACAGGAATCCATTCATCCTCCCCCTCACCTCTATTTGAGTCTCCTTTTTTCCAGTGAATTTGTAATGATTTTTTAATTTAAAAGTTAAAAAATATAACTACAAATTAAAGTTCATAAAGAACATAAAAATGTTTATCTTGTATGGATAAATTGTATTACTTTGTGTTTAAAACAACTTTAAGGAAAAAAGTTCCAAAATTTGATAGGAATTTCTAATTTTTCAAATCAAGATAGACTCAGGGACTTCCCTGGGGGTCCAGCAGTTAAGACTCCGCCCTTCCACTGCAGGGGATGAGGTTTCAATTCCTGGTCGGGGAACTAAGATCCCAAGTGCTACGTGGTGCTGCCAAAAAGTAAAAAAAAAAAAAAAAAAGACTCAAAACTTTTCCCCTGCCCTGGGTGTCTTTGGATGAGATAGTTTTGAAGTAGCTACATGACATTATTATATAAAATCAAGCATTGGAAGTTTTGCTTTATTAATAGTTTTGATAAACAAAAAGAGGAAGGGAAAGAATTAATATTTTGAGCGCTATGTACCAGGAGCTTCCCTTGTAAGAATGCTATGAGGTGTGTATTATGCTCAGTCCACAGCTGGAAAAAACTGTTTCTGAAAGATGAAGTAATTTGCTAATGAGTGGTCAGACTAGACCTTTAATTAGGTCTTTCTGTGGGCTTCCCTGGCGGCGCAGTGGTTAAGAATCTGCCTGCCAATGCAGGGAACACGGGTTCGAGCCCTGGTCTGGGAGGATCCCACATGCCGTGGAGCAACTGGGCCCACGCGCCACAGCTCTTGAGCCTGCACTGCAGAGCCCGCAAGCCACAACTACTGAGCCTGTGTGCCACAACTGCTGAAACCCGCGCGCCTGCAGCCCGTGTTCCACTGCAGGAGAAGCCACCGCAATGAGAGGCCTGTGCGCCACAGCCAAGAGTGGCCCCGGCTCGCCGCAACTAGAGAAAGCCCGCGTGCAGCAACGAAGACCCAACACAGCCAAAAATAAATAAATTAAATTAATTTTTTAAAAAAGTCTTTCTGGCTTCAAAGCCTGTTTCCTTTCCACTCAGAGTTGTTTTGGGCATTGTCTCTGGCCAGGCTGCTGATGGGATTCTTGTCAAAGGAAAGAAAGTGCCTGAAAAAAAAATTTAAAAGGAAAAAAAAAAAAAAAAAAAAAAAAAAGAATGTGCATATACACCATCCCATACACGTGGCTCAGCTTGTCTTCATGAAAAAGCCCCCAAACAGAGCAAAACTCTCATGACCACAGCCAGGCACCTCCTTCTAAAGTCTTCTACTCTGGAACTTAGCAGGAACCCACCAGGCCCAACACAGGAAATTCAATCCCTGTAGCCCCACCCTCCATATTCAAATACTTTCTCACTCCCCCAAAAGAAGGGCTCCACACTTTTCCTAGGCGTCTCCTTGTTATCATCCTCCCTCCCATCCCCATGGCTCGCTCGTGTCTTCCCTCTTCTGTCTGCCCTAACCCCAATCTTGACCTAGCGGAGTCACTCCCAGCTCAAGCCCCTTCCTGCACCCTGCCCCTCAGCCATCTCTCTCCCAACTTTGTTGAGTTCTTGCTCTAATTCTGCTCTGCACCACATCCGTTAGCCCGAGGTGTTTCTCTAGACTTTGCTTCTGTTACTTTTGACTCCTCCAGAGGAGTCTAAATTCTTCAAAGCCAGACTCTGAGTCTTATGTCTTTTATTTTTTTCAGGGGTTAGTTTATGGCTGGAGATATGGTAGGTGGTCGAAATGTATTCATTGTTGATTGAATAGAAGATTCAGGAATTGTGTTCTTCACATCTACACGGTCAGAAAGCCCACCACTCCTTTGCAAACACCCATGACACATAAGCACAGCCATCTGAGTTCATTTCAAATGAGGCCATGTTTGTTATCACCGCAGTTTATACCAGCACAGACTGTAATGTGTTTGTTCTCAATTTTTTTTTTTTTTTTTTTTTGCGGTACGCGGGCCTCTCACTGTTGTGGCCTCTCCCGTTGCGGAGCACAGGCTCCGGATGGACAGGCTCAGCGGCCATGGCTCACGGGCCCAGCTGCTCCACGGCATGTGGGATCTTCTCGGACCGGGACACGAACCCGTGTCCCCTGCATTGGCAGGCGGACTCTCAACCACTGTGCCACCAGGGAAGCCCTTGTTCTCGATTTTGCACTCTCAGTTTACGCCCTAGCAGGACTTGCTCTAGTCAGTCAGGCTGGTCTACTGAGCCTTCTTGCTCCTCTTTTTGTCATCAGGCCCCTTCACCCCAATTAAGAGTCTACCCTGGACAATTTGCCTGTCTACATCCCCCATCTACATTCCCAGCCCACATCTCCAGTTGGTTAACTCAGTCTCTCCTTTTGGAATTTACACCAGACAAGGCTTCCTACAGCTGGGAGTGTAGCAGACACGGTGTTAAACAATCTGCCCAACACCCATTGCCCCCTTCTTTCCTGATCAAGACACCAATTTTGCTCAGGCATCTACTGTACTGCACCTTGGGATATGCTTCAGGGACCCCAGCCCTATTTTCTGTCCAAAACTTTCTAATCTAAGCTAGTGACAGTGCTTGGTTTGGGAGTGGGCATGTGGCATATTTTGGTCTCTGAGACATGAGAGGAGGTGTGCTGGGGGCTTCTGAGAAAGATTTCCTTGCTTCTAAGAGAGACACCCAGGAGGAGAAAGTCTTTTCTTCCTTGTGATGCTGTCCTGAATGGATGTGATGCCTGGAATTGCTGCAACCGCCTCGTGACCATGAGGGGAGCTATCTTCTGAGGGTGGCAGAGCAAAGAGATGGTGTCACTAAGGTCTGTGTTGAGCAACTGGGGCTGCCCTGTCCCAGGACTTCTTGCTGTTTAAGCTACTTTCCATTGAAAGTATTCTGATCCTGGGTGAGAATGAAAGCAAGGGGTGTGGGGCAAAGGGTCAGGAACTTAACCCATGTTGATTAATGTCCATTATGTGCTGGTATTTTAAATGTGTCATTAAATTTTACTCTCATTCCAGCTTTATATGAAAGCATTCTTGATGATGAAACTGAGACTCAGAGTGGGTGAGAACTTGTTTATAATCACAGGGACGAAAAGTAAGAAACTGGTATTTGAACCCAGGCAAATTTGAGAGTAAGATTCCTGCTCTCTCCACTATGCTATCTTTCCAGGTCTGTACATAACAATGATATATATATATATATATATATATATATGTATGTATATATATATATATATACATACATATATATATATAATAATGATATAGAACAATGATATATAACAAAGATATATAACAATGACCTTTAATATAACTTCCTAGAGTTATCAGTTGCTAACTATGCCCCTGACCTTTTAAAAAGCATATAATAACATAATTGGAATCATGTGTATTCTGCTTTTTTACAAACATGCTAAAGAGGACATTTTCCTCTGGCATAAAAATTCTTTGAAAATCTTGCTTTTAATGCCTGCATTTAAAATTGAGGTATACTATAATTGATTTAACCTTTATCCTATTACAAGACCTTTCATTGCTTTTAGTTTTGCTATTAAAAATAATACTAGAATAATTATTTCATACCTAAATTTTATCCACACCTCTCATTATTTCATATTAGGATAAATTTCTAGAATTCCAGAGCCAAAACATATGAACGTTATAAAGGCTGGTAATT